AGGAGGAGGAGAGAGATTCAGATACAGGTTTCAGTGTGGATTTTGTTTTCTCTCTAGGAAGCTCTCATTTTTTAAACAGTGAAAATCAGTTTTCACTCTAGCTATACTAAAATATGCAACTAAGGACATTCACAAAAGATGTGACTTTGGAGGCCTCAGACACATCTCAAGTGCTGCACAGAATCTCCATCTTCTCCTGTTTCCTTGCAAAGGCTGCATCTTTTCCTTCAGCAGAGCCAAGTCCATACAGTCAACTGCTATTGAGGCAGTTCTGCGAGGCAACTTAAGCTGCTGATCTTGCGGGCTAATGCCAGCGGGAAATGAAGTCAACCTTCAGAAAGTGCTGAATGGATTTCAGTCATGCTTCAGTTTTGGCAACAACGCTGGCCAGGAGATCTGTCCAGACAGCTCTCAGTTGGTGGCCTGCCTGCTTCTTTATAACTACCAATCTCTGCTGGGAAAGCAAGCCCCCAAACACTCTCTTTTCTTGGAAATGGGGGGGGGGAGGGCTATGTTTGAGGATGTGTGATTTCTATGGGCAGACCTTTCAGATGACACCCTCCTGCCTTGATTTCCACTTGGATTGAACTTTCTCTCATCAGAGGACTAGTAAAAAGGACACCCCACTCGTTCACCCTTCTTTGTACACTTGGATTAGAAGAGGAAAGTAGCAGACCTCTTGCCAATTTCACCTGGGTGCCCAGGAAAGGTTCGCCTCTCACCCTTCTATCAGGAAAGTTGTAAAAAGTAACAGTAGGCTAGAGGAACCTGTTGAAAAAAAAAGGAAAAATGTTCAGCCCAGGACAAAACGGCCACGGAGGGCAGTGCTGGAGGGAAGGAGATGTTTCTGCCATAGTGCAGATCCAAGACGTTTGCCAGCGAGTCAGTGAAGCTCAGCCGGCCGACCACATCGCACCAAACTTGTGCTGGAGGAGGTAGCAAAACACTGCTTTTGAGCTGGAGCAGGACAAGATGGGAAGAAGCTGGAGGGTGGAGGACGAAGCTTATATGTCACTGTCCTCAAGATATGGTTAGTGGGGAGCCCTTGCTTCAGGGCAAGCGGGCTGTGTAGATGAACCCCAAATTGTAGAGAGTAATCAGCACACAAGTATGATGGAGCCCTACCTTTATTCTCCTGTTATTGGACAATAGACCATAATAGGCTTGCAAACCAAGACCTTAGCCGAATGACAAGGCGGGGGGGGGGGATTATCACCCCATAACTGTCTAACTTTCCACCTTGATACTGGAACCAGTTCCTTTTTGTTGTAAAGCTGAATTTGTGAACTGTAGAAAATATAACTAAAACTGAAGCCAATCTAATTTACTGCTACAAGCTGCTCCTCGGTGATGCGGGGGAAAAAAACTTAATTTAAGTGTGTTTTTAAAGTGGAAACTTTTCAGAATGTTACTCACCCTACTTGGGGTTTCACAACATGAAAATAGTTGGGGGTTTTTTGGTCAAGATCTTATGAATAAAGTGTGACTTCTTGCCATGGTGGTGATTAGAGAGTTTTTATTGTTGTTTTGAAATAATTAAAATGCAGGAGAAGGAAGTAATTCAGAACGGGACAGAGATAGGAGCAAAGATGACAGTTTCTCTCTTAATGCCATGTTCGTGATCTATGGCCCTTCATGCCACAGACTATTTTTCCAAAAAATTGTGCAGCAAGAAACTCTGTAACAGATATAGTGTCTGACTGGGTCCTTAAAAGGTGAACGTATAGAGCAATCAACTCAAGCAGGATGAGTGTGTGAATATGTGTAGCTTGTCCACAGGCATAACCAGGGATAAAAGTGTTTGAGGAGATGACAACCCAAGGAATACATGCCCTTTCTGTGGGTCACCCTTCATTACTATAGTTCCACCTTCTCAATATCCCCTAAATCTGTTGGGATGGCTGTTGTCAGTTAGTACATATCTATCTCACCTTTTCTCCACCAAGATCAGGGTTTTGTATCTGCTTCCATTCCAGCAGCTGCGTCCTCATAATAACTTTGTGAGGTAGGTTAGATGGAGATAGTCACCAACCCATAATTATCTAATAAACTTTGCAACTGAGTGGTGATTTGAACTTGTGTCACCCCATCCCATTTTAGCACTGAAGATGTTACCTAGCCGGGTAATGAAACATTTGCAAGAAAAGAACCAAGCTCGGAGAACCCCAAGGACTCCACAGAACCTGTGTCTCCCTGGGCTTAGGTTAACATGTTAATTATGTCACCATAATGGTAATGCACTGGAATACTGTACAGGTAGTCCTTGTTTAGCAACCACAATTGGGACTGGCAACTCAGTTGTTAAGCAAAGCGGTCACTAAGTGTAACTGCAAATGTGCTTATGATCTTACTTCTGCCTTCCTTTGCTTTACAGACCTGCGAAAGTCATAAATGCAAGGATTGGTTGCAAAGTTACTTTTTCATCACTGTTGTAACTGCAAATGGTTGCTGTGCAAGGCAGTGGCTAAATGAGGACTATCTGTACACAACTTCTAATTTCTAGCCAAGAAGAATCATGGCTAGAAGGATCTGGAAGACTCTTCCAGAAGAATCTTACAGTATCTTGCCTAGATTTGAGGAAATGGTCCTTTTTTGGATTAGAAACTGCCTTATTTTAGATGTCTGTGGAGTCAGAGTGGATAAGGTGCTGGAAGACACATCCTAAACCTCTTTTCAAAACCACCCATGTTCAGTTCCTACGAAGTATCATGATAGAATTGCTTTGTGGCTGACATGGTAAGAGTTTATATCTACCAAATATAGAGAATAATACATACAAGAAGAACCATAACCACAATTTTGTGCTGTATTGGGTTCATTTAATATTGTGTAAAATTAGAATCACAACATTCAGGACATGAAGACAGTGTCCTGTTCAAGAGGATTTGAAGTCCTCTTCAAAAATGTCTTTAGTAAAAGCAGTGTAGTAGGCAGCTGATCACTGATATATTTTCTTTGTAGTAATAGACCTTTCGACCTTTCAAGGGTTGCAGAGGGCGGAAATTATTTCTCATTCGCCTGCCCTCTTTAACGGTAGTAAAATATAGTGAGTTTGAGAATATCTTAATCTGGAAGAAAAGGAGAAAAAAAGCAAATGGCGGAGGGGAGGGAGAGGAGACAGCAAAAACTGAAAAGTTAGTTCATGCCCCCAAAAGCCAGATGCTTAATGTCTTAAGTAGGGGTACCTGACTTTCAGCCCAGAGCGCTTTCTATTTCCTCACATTTCAGCAGCTCAATTTCCTGCCACTTCAGGAAGGAGACATGGAAACACATAAATAGACATAAGGAGGGAAGAAGATCCCACCTCTGTCCAAAACAGCAAGATCTTCAGGAGGTTCAAAAACATCAAGATGGCAATCACAACCATCATTATGATTTTTTGACACTCCCTTCTATCTGCACGCTCCAGTCCAAAAAACGATATGCTAAAAATAAAATCCTAGCGCTTAAATGCAGAATGTGATTCCATCTACTGCAGTTTTCAGCAGACTTATATATATTTGGAGCTTTCATTGGCAACTTGGTCGTTAAGCACAGCGGTCACTAAGTGAAACTGTGACTGTGTTTATGATCTTACTTCTGCTTTCCTTTGCTTTACAGACCTGGAAAGGTCATAAATGCAAGCTACCAATGAATTGGTCTTGATCTATGACCAATTGGTCTTGTTGTGAAAGTCTTTTCCAAACACAGATTATGGCAGTGTTGTCCAAACTTGGCCACTTTGAGATGAGTGGACTTCAACTCCCAGAATTCCCCA